AGTATTATATAAGCTTAAGGAAAGCTTATATAAGCTTTAAACATCAAGAATAGAGAATTAGAAAGGAAATGATATGAAGGGTGTAGAAATGAAATTTTGTTATAGAAAGGTTTTTGTAGTTCTAAAGATGGATTTGACTTGTCAAGGGTATAATTAAAAAGCTAGAAGCAATAGAATTGAATTTGGAACATGTTGAAAATTTAGTGTAATTCTTGAATTACATATGGAGAATAGAATTTTGATGTTAAAGAGGTGATTAATGAATAGGAATGAGTTTGAATATGAGTATGTAAGTTAAAAATAAGAAAGGGGATGATATATGAAGTATTAAGCTGAAAAGAGTGGATTTTCGGGCATAAAAGAGGATTCTGGGCAGAGTGCATCGATGCATATTCATAGTGCATCGATGCATCAAGGTTAAAACCCAGAAATTACTTGAAGGTGTATCGATGCATTGGTAATGCATCGATGCACTCTTTTAAAATAGAAACATCGAATGCAATTAGTGCATCGATGCATAAGGCATGCATCGATGCATCCCAGTAATAATACAACATCGAATGCATTTTATGCACCGATGCATCAGTAGTGCATCGATGCATACCTTCATTAAAAGATGAAATTGGCTTTTCTCTTAGCCTAAGGAGTGATAGTTTCGAATATATCAATCAGTATACTGATAAGTATTAATGTATTATTATGTAGATATAGAATGAAAGCTTGTTCCGGAACAAACTAAGGATTAGGATTGATTCAAACAACGAGGCCCAGGTGAGTGCAATTTAAATTGTACTTATGTATCAAATAAACATTGGCTTGCGATGAGCCAGTGATGGAGTCACTATGGTAAGAAGGGACTCCTAAAATGTTATTTGAATTGTGATTCTTATGTTTGCATGAGTGCATGAAAATGGGTACATATGTTATATGTATTGCATATGTTACATGAATTGAATGAATATATGTTAGTGTGATAAGTTATGTGAACGGGTTTAAATAGTATATGTGATTATATAAGTTTATAATAAATATGTGATATAGGACATAAGTTAAAGAACTATATGATTAGATAAGATAAGCATATGCTATTATAATTGACTATAGGATCACGAACTATGTAAAAATAGCAAGGACTTATGTGATAGCAAGAGAAAATGATATAAAATAGATGATATTGATATAAATGATAAGTTAAACGACATAGACATATGTGATTATATGAAAAAGAATATAAGTTATGTGATTATGAACATATGGATATAGGTCTAGTTGAAGATATAATAACAAGATATAAATTACACGAGTTAAATATATGAGAATTAGTATAACCAACTTATGAGATGAAATGAAAAGTGAGACAAGTTAAATAACATTGACCTATAGGACAATATGAAAATAATATATAAATTAGGAGACATTGACAGAAGTGATTATATGAACATGTAAGATAAGCTATATGGGAAGAGTTATGGGCTTAAATGAACATATAATATATGAGTCATATAGTAAAGATCTATGAAGCTATAGGAAGATGTTATGGGAGTTATGTGATGATAAGTTATAAGAATATATATAGGTAACAAGTTATGTGAAATTGAATTAAGTAAATATATGAAACTAGGATATAAATAATGTGAGATAAGTTATAGGGCATTGATATACGAACTATATGAAAGTATGTACATGAATATTTGTATAAGTTTATATGTTATTCTATGTGATATATGATGTATATATGAACATATGTGAATAAGATAAGACATGTGTGTTTACAGGAAAAATGAGAAATGATATAATCCATATGAAATGATCTACGTGATTACATGTAATACGTGATTACATGCACTTGAGATAAAGGTTATATGATATGAAATGTACGTTCACACATACATATGGTATGTGACAGAAGAAAAGGAACAAGTGATATGAAACATAAGAATAATGCCCATAGTATATGATATGAGAGCTATAGGTATAGTTGGCATGCCAAGAGTCGAGGGTTCTATGCGGTCCTTCGGGATATATATATATTATGTGGAACATGTGTGAAGTCTTGTAAGACACATACTTGATCCCTAGTATATGTATATTATTCTTAAGGAATAATATGTGGTCCTTATGGACATTATTATATGGCACTACGGTGCAATTCTACGCGGTCCTTCGGGATATATATATATTTTGTGGAACATGTGTGAAGTCTTGTAAGACACATACTTGATCCCTAGTATATGTATATGATTCTTAAGGAATAATATGTGGTCCTTATGGACATTATTATATGGCACTACGGTGTAATTCTACGTGGCACTTCGGTGCAATTATACGAGCTGTGGTGACAGCATTAGTGCACAACCTCAATGTACTCACATACCTCTATTCTCAATAATATACATGGGCAATTGAAATACAAACTTTAAAGTGAAAGTGGTACAATAAGGTAAGTTTCGTACGTGCATGATATGATTATATATGTTATCATGTAATAGATACATGCATATTGAAATGTCATGATCAAATATTTAGAATACATATTCATCGGATGAAATGGGTATTGATTGGAAAAATGTATGATATTATATGATAGATATGTTAATGATAATGATAGTATTTGTACAGGTATGTGTTTTGTTATATGAAATGTTCTATGGTTTTTATTATATGTTTATATGCCTCACTAAGTCAACGACTTAGCGTGTGATTGTTTCACACGTAGGTTTCGAGAAGAGTAAAGAGCAATATGGAGCAAGACCGGTCAGTTCTCCTTACCAAATGTCAGATCAGAAAAGAGGTGAATAATACGTATTTTAATAAATAAAGTTTTAGTTGGCATGTAATCAAAAGAATATATATTGTATAAGCTCTGAATAGTTTTGTAAACGTTTTGAATAAGTTCAATGTTATAAAAGTTTTTAAATTACTCACTATTTTATATGAATAAATGTTTGAAAAGACAATGTGACACTTCGGACTCGTATCCGGGTCGGATACGGGTTAGGGGTGTTACAAAAACTAGTTGTAGTTTTCTGTCTTTTACTCCTCCTAGGTTCATTAACAAGATTAGTATCTCTAACATGTTTATGTGACGATGAAGGAGTAAGATTGTCATGCACCGAAATAGATTTCTTCAAAGGAAATATTTTCAAAGAAGACATTATCTCTAGATTCACAGATTAAATAATCATGCAAAGACATAAATCAATAAGCTACACTATTCAAGGCATAACCAATGAAAACAACTTCAAAAGTTTTAGAACAAATAGAAGTCTTTTTAAAAGATGGCAAACCTACTTTAGCTAAACACCCTCACACTTTCAAGTAATTCAAATTAGGGTCATAACCTTTTCATAATTCAAAAGAGGTACATTCTAGTTTTTTTTATAAGGTACTCTATTAAGAATATGATTTGCACTAAGAACAGTCTCATCCCACATATTATTCGATAAGCCTGAGTTTAATAAAAGAGCATTCATCATTTCTTTTAATCTTTTATTTTTCCTTTCAGGTATAGCATTTTGTTGTGGGAAATAGAGGGCAAAAAAAACTCTTGAATAATTCCATGTTTTTCACATATTTCTTTAAGAAAGTTAGAACCGTATTCTACTTCTGTCTTGCTTTAGTATTTTCACTGTCATTTTCTTACTAGAGATAGCTTAGAAACGACTTAATAAACTCTGACGAACAACGTATTAAGGGAAGGTGTTAAACATTTCTTTAGGAGAAGTCGTAGGATTCCATAATAAACTCAACATTTTATCCTTCTTAAGTATTTAACATATGTGAGGTCTTGTTGAGTTGTCGTATCTTGTAAATTCAGTTATCAACATTCTTTTGCTGCAACATTTATTATTTACTTCAAAATAATATACACTCGAAATATAATCGGCTCTAATCGTCCATAACTTTTCTCCCACAGATTTCATCTCTGAACGACAGCTTGTAAAGGGCACTACACATTGAAATGTCAATGCAAACATCTTTCTTAATATCTTTGTATCTACGACTTCTTTCATCCTCCGATCCACCAGTTCCGCTACCTATCCTTCATTATACTTCTGGAATCCCTGCATTGACAGTAAAATAATGAATTCCAAGATGCAAATACGAGCTAGTTATTGTTTTTGAAGACCGAATATCTTAAGCTTTGAGTGACTTAAAACCCCAAGAACTCAACTTCACTATCTGTATGGGAATCCTATTTCGTAAACATGAGAAAAATCATTTAACATGGAACTAGTTAGACTCTAATATATGCTCATACTGAAACCCATTTCAAGACTTCATGTGGGGTTGGCCTGTGTGTTTTCGCATGTTTAGGGTTTGTTAACAATTATGATGAGAGCTTGTTTAAATGTGATTTTCGTTTGTTTAAGGAAGGTGGTTCGAATATGGTGGAAGTGGTGGGTGTTTAGAAAAAATAAAAATTAGAAAGTTTTAAGAGATATATTTAGATATAAAATCATCATTCATGGATTATTTGATGTTCTAGCCGTAGTTTTGGAGTAAAACTAGAAATTGGAGACTAAGTCATAACATATAGGATATGTGCAGCAGCCTCAGGAAAAATATATTGGCGCGCGCGGCATTCAGAGACTGAATTCTACCCAGGAATGAGATGATCTTCAAATATAAACCAGTTTCGACTGTTCAACAAAACCCATAATAATACCACAAGATTTGTGAACTCAGCAATAAACATTAAAGGAAGCAAGGAAGCAAGATTTCCAAATCATTTGTTAGAAATTTGGAAATGAAAAAATTATCGGTTATAATTTTAGTTAAAAAATAACAATTTTTATTCAAGTATTTATATTAGGTCATGAAGAACCTTCAACTACATGGAAAACAGGAAAAAACTTTTTTTAAAAAAGGAAGAAAAAAAAGTACAGAGCATACACGAACTAGTGCGGCATTGGTTCAAACCATAAATTTGGGATTGAGAGCAAGTAATCTTGTGTTGCCTAAGAATAACAGTTAGTGGTTAAGTTATAGCCAGGAGGAGACGAACTGTAATGCCATAGGTAATGTGGGTGAGCATCGAGTCTTATTAGATGGCATACATTTTGTTGAGCTCATCGTTTAGTATTTCACTATCTGACATCATAGACAATGGATAGGATCGTGACACGCTCTCCATTGACGATCTTCGATTATTTCGTTTGTTTGAAGCCTCGATCCGATGCCTAATCACCCAATAGCACATAGTGCCTAAAGTCGTGAGCATTATACCTGCTCCGATAATGGTAACTCCGATAGCTAGCCATCTTTGGTCTCCGACCACGACAAAACACAAGGCTAAGTATGCCACCGAAACAAGCACACAAGCCAACCACATCAACTTGTTGATAACAGCCATCATCTGCTTCTTTGCCTTGCTCTCAATGACTACAACCGAGGTTTGAACCACCACAACTGCCAGGGAAATGAAGAGGGAAATGGAATCGAAGATGAAGAATATTAAGAAAGCAGGGTTTTCACCGATATTTGCTTCTCCGAGGGAGAATCCAGGAGGGATGTCTTCTTCATCGTCCACAAACTGACCGGGGACTTGGAAAATGGCAGCAAAGGCAACTGTGGCAATTAAGACGGCAACAACAGTGGTGGAGTTTATTGCATTGTTGAGGCCTTCGGAATGCATTTTGTGGAGCCTTTTGGCAATGCCTTGGACATGTTTTCGAGTTTGTCGGGTGTGTTCTAGTTGATTGTGCACTTCATGCTTTATGTCGCTCACCGTCTGTTTCAACTCCCGGGCAGGATTTTGTGGTGCAGGCTTGATCGATCGAGCACTTTGAACCCCATGCTGCTGCAGCGTCGCAGCTATCTCAGGTTGCCCGGTTTTCTCAGCTGTGTCGAAAGCAGTTTCATTACTCTTATTAACAGCTTTCGTGTCGGTTTCTTTGTATCCAAGCAGAAACTTAACAATCTGCACTAAGAAAAAGATTGCTTTATTTGCTAATCAAACATGAATGGATGAAGGCAAAAAGGGGGTGATTACCTCAGCTCTTCCCTTCCTGGAAGCTATATGCAAGGCCGTATTTCCTTTGGTATCGACCATGTTTATCATCAATGAAGGATTCACTTTGATCAGTTCTTCCACCACCACAAGATTTTGGCCTTTCACCGCCATGTGAAGCGCAGTCTGACCTTTTTTATCCGTCCTCGGTGCAATCCCGGGTTCACTAGCCAAAAGGGCCCTCACAACTTCCACGTGCCCATTTCTTGCTGCGGAATGTAAAGCTGTTTTGCCATTACTCCTGGCTATGGTAGCCAGCCCACTACCTGCCTCCAATAAGAACTTCACAATCTCTATATGGCCTTGTGTTGCTGCCGTGTGCAATGCGGTGGTGTTCGATAAATCAACGGTCATTGCCAACTCTGGATGGACTGCCAGAAGCACTTTCAATATCTCTGCAACAATGCCACAATAAAACATCATATTCACCTCCAAAAACCAAACATTTTCAGACACAGCCTCCTCTTAATTGGAAAACCTACCTAAATCGCCTTGTTTAGCAGCAATGTGGAATGCATCAAAGCCACTTCTAGCTTTCATCCCAGCGTCTGCAAGATCATAATACTTGATCATCTCCTCAACCAATTCGACATAACCGTATTCGGCTGCGACATAGAGGGCGGTTTCACCGGATGAATTCTGTTTAGGCAACAGTTTCTTCAGCTCATCCTCCTCGGTATTTGTTAAGATTTCTGACACCACGGCAAGGTTCCCAGCTCTTGCCGCAGCATGAAGGGACGTATCATCACGTTTTCCCGTTAATTGTTTGGTCATCTTTTTCCTACGAGCAGGAACAGATGGCTGCTCGCTTGAAGGTCCCTCCATTGTAATCGAAATCAAGATTTCTTCTTAGATTATCTTTATATATGAATTGAAAGGTTGTTTTTCATCTGGAATAAAAGAAAACCCGGATCAAAAGTTAAAAAATAAGAACATCATTCATCAAAAACCAACTAGTGAAATGAGATTCTAAACAAGTCTTGAATCCAATGGAGCTTGATTCCTTCCTATAGTGTAGTGTTTTACAACAACAACACCCAACACGAGCTTTCCAAAAGCACAAAATGAGGTTCTCTTTGAATGAAAAGGAAAAGAAAACAGGTTTAGAAACCAATCTAAAGCATAAAAGTAAACAACCCCAGAAACCAAAAGGAAAAGAAAAAGGAAACCTTTTTCATCCATTTTGCAAAGAGAACAAGCATGATAAATAACAATTACCCTAGTTTGAATGAAGGAGCTATTTTTTCTCCCGTTCGTTAAAAAACAAAGCACCCATTTAAGTTAGAAAAAACTAGAACAAGAAAAGAATGTTGAAGCTTTGGCTCTTCGACTTATGCGAATCTAAAACTCGTCCACCCCACAAACTATTCCAATCTAACCAATAAAATGGAGACTTATGTAACGGTGATGATCGAAAGAAATATATGGAAAATGATTCCTTTTTCTTCTTCTGGAAAACAAAAACAGCTAAAGCCTAAATGGAGCCATGTTGGCTTATGAGACCAACGGAATTAACAGAAGCCACGCGCCTCTCCAATCGTTTGAATTAGCTATGCCATTTTAAGATGCTTTTCTAGAGGCAGAATTGTAAAAAATAAAAATAAAAATAATTCCACCCTTAGACTTTTTTTCTTTTATAATTTAAACTTCAAATTATCAATTTTCTTTTAAAAATACCAATTTATGGGCGTTTTTATTGAATATCACCCCAGCAAAATTATTTTAGAGATTAACATTCATTCTACATAATTTCTTGAATCGACACTCTTTTAGCAAAGATGCACCACGTTCTATGTGCTTTTCAGGAGACGCTTTTGATATTCAATACCTTTTGTTGACACTTTAAATAATATCATGGAGTAGACACTTTGAAAGGTGTCCATCTCAAGCTTATAACTTGATGCCATACTTGCTCATTGGAAGTGCAACGACTTGCAGCTAGGAAGGTTGAACAACATTACATAGTGTAGGAGAGTAATATAATTGGAAACACAAACATGCATGGATCTGCTCTTCTTGGGTCGGATTGCCAAAACACTAGTGTGAATTGGACTTCCATTTTTCTTGGGCTGCAGTTATGAAGCTCTTTGAGTATTGTTCTGAGCTTTATGAAAGCCTATCTCTGTGCCGAATTTAAATGTCCCAATTGGTCAAAAGGACACGAATTGAAGAACCCAGAATTTAGATTGAAGTTAAAATGGAGTTAAGCACATCATAAAGCTGCAGTAAAGTATATTATAAATTATTAAATCATGCTCAAATAATTGTTTCCGTTATTCGTTTCAAAAAATTATAAAATAATCATTAAATTTTAATAAACGGTTATAAAATAATCATTGAATTATTATAAATTGATCATTAAATTTATCAAAATTTTACAATTAATATAACACCGCCATGGCCCCCAAAAATATCTAAGAAATAACATATATATATATGCACGAATCAATTTATCTCAATGGTTAAAAGAATTGTTGTTCTTAGGAGTCATGAGTTTGAGCACCAGTTGGTGCATCATGGTGATTAGACATTCATTGTCAAATGGTTTAAAGTATTTAGAACAAATACTACTTCGTAATCACTATATATATATAGGGATGGCAGACGGGTACAATTTTGTGGATTTCGCACCTTACCCGCTCCAATTGGGGCGAGGATGGGTATAACTTTAGCGGGTAGTGGGCGGGTGTGGATTTAGAAAGTGGCACCCGTCACGGGTAGTGGGCGGGTGATGGGTTTGAGACCTTACCCGCCCCACATCCACCCGCCCACTAAATACCCATTAAATTTGAGAATGTACCCGCTTGGACGGGTGTGAATTTGAAAAATTTTACCCATCATGGGTGGTGGGCGGTTGATGGGTTTGAGACCTTACCCGCCCCACATCCACCCGCCCACTAAATACCTATTAAATTTGAGAATGTACCAGCTTGGACGGGTGTGAATTTGAAAAATTTTACCCATCATGGGTAGTGGGCGGTTGATGGATTTGAAAATATTAGGTGGGTATGGGGATGGTGGAGGAGTTATCCGCACCCGATCCACCCGTTTGCCATCCATATATATATATATATATATATATAAGTTAATTGCATTATATGTCCTCAAATTATATTTCTTATTTTAAATTCAACTTTAAACTTTTAAATATTCAAAATTCATTCCCAAACTATGAGTCTCAATTTTAAATTATTCCTTAAACTTTTGTACATTCTAATTCCACCCCTAAATTATGACTCTCTTTCTAAATTTATCACTAAACTTTTGAATACTTCAATTTTATCTCTAGTTTTATCCAAATATCTAATTAGTTTCAACCATAGTTTAAAATAAATTTTATTTTTTTCAAATGTATAATAATAGAACTTGGATTATAACAAGGGATGTGATTAGTATATGCATATAGTTTGGGATGAAATTGGAATGTTTAAAAAGTTCAGGGATCAATCTATAATGAATGTCATATTTTGTTGATGAAATTGAAATGTCCAAAAGTTTGAGGATTAACTTAGAATGATAGTCATAATTTAAGAATAAAATTTTATTGTATTAGTATGATATTTTGATGTATAATTGACATCGACAAAAATATTAAGCTATTTTAATTAATGTATACAATTTTTTTTTTAAAAAGACCACCTCAAAATATAATATTAAGTTCCATCACTGAAAATAATTACGGACCTCAAATATATTCTACTCACAAATCTAATATTTAACTAGTCATTAGTCAATGGTAATAACGTGAGGCACATACATATTTTAACCCCTTTTGTAAACAAAACACACAAAAAAGAAAGAGGCGCGAGGTGGAGAAATAGACTTGGTGTGCTTTAACTGATGTGCACAGTTCATAATTCGTATCCATTCACAACAATATAACTCTCGAAGTTCCAATTCCATCATATTAGTTTGATATGTTGAGATCATTTTCACCCCCTAAATTCTAATCGCAGAAGAAGCAACCGGTGCGAATTCAGACCTGAAGATATCAAGCCATCTCTTTCACATCCATTTTGTAGTCGTTGCATAACTCTCATAGACAGTAGTTCATGCAAAACTAACTTACCATTACAGGTATCAATTTTGCACACTTACCAAGGGTTTGAACTGGAAAGCTGACATACTTGAGGCCTGCATCACAGTGATGTCGGTATTAAAATCAACATTCAAGCACAGCATCTAAATCTGCTTCTTCAGAAAATTTATGTTCAAATACAAATATTGCGGTGATTAAAAATTGTGTGTATGAAACATGATTGTATTATAAGCTGATGTAAGGATACTGGTATATAGTTTACCTCGTACTCACATGTTGCGATTAGGATGTTTGACACTGATATGAGGCAGTACTTGTAGACTGGTGCAACAAGATCCATAGCTTTTTTACTTGCATATGACCCAAAAAGAACATCAATATGTTAGCCAATCTTGCCATCTGTTAGAATATGAATAGAATTAGTTAATATTTATTATTTTGTTATTAGGTAGTTACACTTTGGTTAGTTTGTTAACAAGTCTTAATGGACTATATAAACCTCCTATAGATCCGTTGTAATTCATTTTTACAATTAGTGAAAAAAGCATAATACTCCCCATTTACTTGTTATCGCCTATTACCTTTCTCTTCTTCAATAAGTACTGCCGTGTAGCAATGTTTGGCCGTTGTACCGGAGTATCAACATTTCATCACCATCTATTATGCAACATAGTACATCTCTAGCCTATTTTATATGGACAAGGCATGCAACTTGCAATATTTCGGTCGAAAAATGAAACATGTAGAATCTTCATTAAAGGATGGATGATCATGCAGCTTGAAGATACTAAATTTTTTTACTAATTTTATTATTATTATTATTATTATTATTATTATTATTATTATTATAATAATTATTATTATTAAAAAATAATTACAAACATGCCCAGATTGGACCGGCCCAATTACAAAGGACCCAACTGGCCCAAATCAGAAACCCTAAAACCCAATTAGGGTTTTCTATCCAGCTGCCGTCGCTTTGCTTCTCCACCGTTGGATCTAGCATTGATCCAACGGTCCAAATGGCGCCAGACGAAACCCTAGGGTTATGATACCCTAGGGACTACACCAGCTGTCGCCGCTCCACGTCGCTCCAGCCACTGCCACGCCCCAACCGAAGGCTCCAGAAGCTCCAACGCCAGCCGTCCACGTTATGGCTATGGGGTGAGTCACCACTGGGAGTCCGGTGACTCACCGAAGGGTATTCTTTTACCCGGTCCGATGGCCATACCGGTGATGGCTATAAAGCCATCACCCCATCTGCGAACAAGAAAAAAACAACAGAGACGGAGAGAGACAGAAACAGAGAGCAAAGATACAAAAACAAAGAACAAACAACCCACAACCAGCAGTAAACCAAAACAGAAACAAAAAGAAAGGAAATAAGCTTACCGAGGAAGCCACCAGACCTTTCAAACGTCACCAAAACCTTCGGAAACCGAAGGTATTTCTTTAGATTTGCTCCGATCAAGAGCTATTTAGGAGAAAAAAGCACCGGAACCGTCCTTAGGACGGTCCGATCTACATAATGATAAAAAATAAAATTTTCCGGCCACCGGATGCGGTGGCCGGCGGTGAGGGTCACGGCGGCAGACGGCTGCCGTCTGGTGACCAGCTTCCCTCCGATGAGGGAAGCTAGAGAGAGGGGAGAACGTTTATTTCTCTCTCAGTTAGAGAGAGAAATAAAAAAAAGAAATGAAATATGGCCCGAAGGGCCAGCTGAATTCGGCTTTAAATAGCCCTTCTCGAACGACGTCGTTTCGGGGAGGGCTATTCGTGTAATTAAATAATAGTTAAATCCTTTCCGCAATCAGCCTAATTTGTAAACTTTACATTTTAGTCACTAAATCGAGTTTATAATCCTTTTAATTCA